TTTTGGTGGTTATAAGCACTTAAGCATACATTATAGAGGAGTCCCTATTAAAATAACGAATTTTAAAAATTCCAAACTTCATTTTTCCGAACATATTATTTTTTCGAAAAATTCTTCATTCAATTTCATATGATTTTCAAATTTTAAAAAACCGTTAAATATTAAAAAAGTAAGAATTTCAATTTGGAATTCTAGAAAAAATATATTAAGAACTTCAAAAAATTAAGAATTTTTTTTTCTGTAAATTAAATGTAAAAATGAAAAACAGAAAACAGATCTGTTTTTGCGACCTGTTTTCTGTTAACAGATTTTTGTCGAAAAACAGCTGTTTTTCTGTTTTCTGTTAACAGGTTCCCCAAACCCTACTTAATTCCAAAGGTTTTAAAATAACAAACAAAGTTATCTTTAGCTAGAGGAACGTCTGGAACTGACTATTCGATTATATCTTCAAGTTTAACTAAGAACAAGCTCAAGCAACAGGCCTCGAACTACCCTATTGTCTATTCTAAGAATATGAAAGTTGAATATTTCTTCTGTTTTAAGTTTGACATCACTAAACACATGTCACGTTCATTACTCAAAACAATCCCACATCACACTTCCTCACCTCAACTTGTAGTCGGCAGATTCTTTTATAATGAAAACAAAAACATCACGTAAATTTTTTTCGTTGACAAGCAAGACAAAAGGTTCGACGTAACGGCGGTTCTTCCGTTGTGATACGCTGCATCTTAAATAGGTCATTGCAAAGTGAGTCATTTGCCTTATTTTTCATTGATATCTGAAAACATGTTTACGAACTTTAAAATTTATGATCTTGAGTTTTTCGACATTTAATGAAAGATGTTATGAATGAAAATGAGCTAAATCAGCACTGAATGTGAAATGTGAAACGGAAAAGCGTAGTAAAATTCTACGGAAATGTAGCAAAAAATAATGTGAAAAAAAAAATCAGAAAATATGTCAAACAAAAAATATTTTTAACTGACAGACTTTAACCTTCAAAAAGTTATCTGATCGACTTACTCAGTCACAACATGGTTTGTCATTAAGAGTCAATAATTGGAAGGATTAAATTCACTTGTTTCAATTGCCTATTACTTCATTAAATATTTCCTATAAGTTTAATTACGCGAGTTCATGCAAATCTGATTTTTTTTACAAACTTGATATCTTAATTAATGTGTTTAATAATTGGATGTGATCAACTTGCATCATTCACGCATGAAATAGGTTGTTAAGTTTTTAAAATTTTGTTTCTATTTTTTGAGCTATTAGTAATATGATGAATAATTGGCATGAAGTTTCTTTGATTTAATTTCTGTTCTCCTCTCCATGCTTATTCCATGGTTATTCTGCCTATCGTATCAAACTATTGATTATCATTTTTGCACATCGAAAAAATGTCAAACTTAGAAACTTTAATGATAATTTAATTGTCTTATAACTCTAATAGCTAAAGTAAAAAATTAACAAACAATGCAATTCATACTTAATTATTCAACTCATGGAAAAAAATGAGACAGTTTTGGAGTGATGTCAAAAAATATTCAAAAACAAATAAATTAAAAACGGTCATCTTTATTTCAATCAGAGTTGTAGCAAAGGAGTTTGTAGCTTGGTATTAAATCGCAAGTGGCTTGAGCCTTTAGTCATATTTTACCAACGTCTGGGAACCAAAACTCCCCAAAACTTACTTTGCTGGTCGCACAGATCAATTGTGATTCATGACCTTCCTTAAGTGTCTCCTAAAACTAGCTCTTTCACTGGCCATCGTCTGCCAATTGACAATTCCAAATGCTACACTATCTTTATCAATAGCCTGTGTAGAGTCTAAACACAGTTTAAATATACTTTAATATAATCAATCGTTTTATTCGACTCTTATCTACTTAAATATCTATTCAAAAAGTGACCGTTATTTATCCGCTCAATAAAGCTTCATCCCCTCGATCTTGACGCAGCTTCAGACCCCTACAGCCTCTTTCCATGAGTTCTTTAATTTTATATGGAAAATTCAGAGGGAAGGTGGGGATTTTTATCAGAGATCGAAGCCGATTTTTTCGGCTTAACTTAATTTTTGGAAATTTTGATAGAAAAAAGCCATTTAACACCCATTTCAAGTATTTAAATTGAACTTTACATGCTTTACTATGATTCTGTGAAATATTTTTTCAGCATGTAGCTATAGTAAGCTCTGAATTTCAATTTAGCCGATTTTAAGCCGATCGGCTACATGCTGAAAAAAAAAACGTTAAAAAAACTTTTTAAAAAACACGCTTTTTTCCCGAAGACTAAAAAACAAATAACATTTTTTTCTTGAAGTTAAGTCTGTTGTTGAGAATAAAAACGAAGCGACCAAAAAAGGAGCAAATAAAAAAATGTTAAAAAAAACTTTTTAAAAAACACGCTTTTATCAAAAAGACTAAAAATCAAAAAGTTCAAAATAAAATAAGGTCACACTTTTAGCTAATCAGGATTTTAAAAATTTTCTTGTGACAACTTGAAATGTAACATAAATTTTTTTCAAAATATTGTGATTAAGTCCAAGAACACAATGACTCTATAAGCGTGGGGCGTAATTTAAGGATGCATTTCTTAGTTCAACTAAGTTCTTAAGTAAGAGAAGCGTCAAATCTCAAAGCCCCACGCTTTTCGAGTCATTGTGTTCTTGGACTTAATCACAATATTTTGAAAAAAATTTATGTTACATTTCAAGTTGTCACAAGAAAATTTTTAAAATCCTGATTCGCTAAAAGTGTGACCTTATTTTATTTTGAACTTTTTGATTTTTAGTCTTTTTGATAAAAGCGTGTTTTTTAAAAAGTTTTTTTTAACATTTTTTTATTTGCTCCTTTTTTGGTCGCTTCGTTTTTATTCTCAACAACAGACTTAACTTCAAGAAAAAAATGTTATTTGTTTTTTAGTCTTCGGGAAAAAAGCGTGTTTTTTAAAAAGTTTTTTTAACGTTTTTTTATTTGCTACTTTTTAGTCTCAATCTTTTAATCGAATTTCGACCACAACAATTCAAATTCAACTCCACTTCGTTTCGTTCAACTTTTAATATATTCCCATTTTTTAATGGGCAATTAGTAACGACTGTCAGGATTTTTCATTCGTTTTTATAATTTAAGTCATACCTGGAAACACATAAAACTCTTCCAAAACATGTCCTGAACTTCAATATTTGCGTTTTCTGTGTTTTTTAAAACATTCATGAGTAAAGAACATTAAAAATCAATCGTAAAGATTTTGTGTTTATCCGTACCATTCTTATTACATAACGTGTGGATTCTTAACATAAAGATGCAAATCACATCTATATGTAACGTATTTATAACGGATTTTTCAAATTTAAATTCAATGAATGTCATTCATATGTTATGCAAAATTACGTTAAGCCGATAATAAATAGAAGTCAATTTAATTAAATTGGTGAAGTGCTATAAATATTGTAATACATTTAAAACAACATACGTTTATGCTCAAATTATGTGTGCTAAATGCACATCACATATTGATAGTTATTTTGCATTAATTCGTAACGGACTTGTGATTAACGGTTTTTTTGAAAATTCAAATTTTCACTTACGGATATTCATGAAAAAATTACTTGTCAATTTTTTCATCCTCCCAGAAAATCTTCAGCTTCTCCAATTATTAGTATTATTAATAATTAGTAACATTAATTAAACTATAGTGAATCATATAAATGACTTTTGAGCATTTCAAGTATAATATTTTAAACAAATCAAAATTTTATATCATTGACATTGGATTTTTTTCCCATATAAAAAAGTTTTATTAAAATTGTACTATAATTAAGCATTTGTGTGGTTCTAAAGTGTTGAAATATTGTATTGTCACCGGGAATACGTGTGTATACAAAATTTGAGCTCGATTGGAGCAATAGAAGTGGTCGAAAAATCGATTGCAAGATTTGAACGTGACATACAAAGAAACCAACAGAGCAACTCAATAAAAAGCGTGTAATAAAAATATTTCACAGAATCATAGTAAAGCATGTAAAGTTCAATTTAAATACTTGAAATGGGTGTTAAATGGCTTTTTTCTATCAAAAAAATCAAAAATTGAGTTAAGCCGAAAAAATCGGCTTCGATCTCTGATTTTTATGATTTTTTCATTAAACTCCTAGCAAAATCAAGAAATTTCTGTTAACGTCTGGGGATTTGTCCCCTATATCCCCCCTGGTTACGCGCCTGCCTTAGATTCTTCACTGACTTATTCTATGGCACTAATTTGAATAAATAAAGCAGACTTCATATGTATTGCAACCATAAAAAAAAATCAATCTAGTTTGGAAGCAATCAACACACATCTTTAGGCGAATTTTGGAATTCTTTGTTAAATTATTAGTTATGACATTGACAAGTATTAGTAATTAAATTGCTACTAAGTAGTTCAAAAAATCTAATTTCTTGAACATGGGTGGGATTCACAAATGATATCCATCAAAAACTAGAATTTTTAAACCCCCTTCCTCTGTCACGAAATGTTAAAACTTTTATCACACAATACCCACAAATGATGGACAACGCTTATGAATAGTCCCATAGATAAGCCAAACAAGATCAGAAGCAACTAAAACTTCACATTAATCATAATATTACAAATAACCTGTAGAGCAAATTTTCAGCAATGAGCAGCATTACTTGCTCAAAACAAAAACAATTCCTTGCAATTCTACACCAACAAGTAACACAAGCCACCGATGTTCAACAACATATTACATTCGTGTACACACTATTGATGTTAGTCCATTAGTTGCTTATGAATCTATAAAAGCAGCTGACTGTTGAAAATTTTTTGTGAGTCTGCATCTAAAGATACAATCGTGAATACGAAAAGCTGTGCATTTTTAAAAATAAATATAGATACACGCGTAACTTAAGCAGTAGAAAATAATAATAATTTTATAAGTTACGCAAGAGAAATGAAAAATTATTGAAAAAAAAAAGTTGTGGCATGTTTATGAGCAATTATAATTGCGATGTGGATTAGTGTAAAAATTGTGTTACTGTTGACAATTTCTTCATGTAATGGTTTTGGAATTCCTAATGTCTTTGCACCATTTGTGGAAAGTTTGATAAAAAATAATGCAGACAAAAAAGTTGAAAGTAAGTAAAGAGTATTTTGATGATTAAAACCTATTCTCGAGTATATTAAATTGAGTAGCTATAAAAGTCATAGTTTTTACTAGTGCGACTCTAGCCAATTAATCACCAGTGTCCAAATCAAAACTATAATTTGATTTTTGGTCTATATCAGTGTTTCTCAAACTTTTTTGGTCCTTGGTATATTTTCCCGTAAACATTCCTGACACTGGTGTTCCGTGGTACACAGTTTGAGAACTACTGGTCTATATTTTTTGTAGCTCTCAAGACCGAGACCTGTTTGCCCTCAATACTACCCCATTAATACCAATATGAAATGATAATATAAAAGAAGTGCCGCGACTCACTTAAGCTACACTGTCTTGTCTAAACAGTTAAGTTTGGATAGTAAAATATAATGCCAAGATGTCTAGTCATTCATGATATTTTAAAGCAACTAATTTTGAACTTTGTATTACACTGGACATTGCGTTTAAAAGACTACAGTTAAAAATGGTAATTGACCTATTGATCTACGCAGTTTTGGCATTATTTTAGATAATCTTAATTTTTCTACATACCAAGCATGTGTTTTATCCAGCGTGTTTGTAATAAGTAACAGCTTACACTAAGTTTGTTGATATTTTGAAATGAACGAATAAATAGCAAATTAATCAAGATTACTTAGACATTTATTTTTTGAGTTGATTTTTGCGAATTAGATTTAAAGATACTAGTTTTAATTTTTGCTTAAATTGAATAATTTTTAATAACAATTGATCAGAACTTTCCTAAGCTACATAACACAGTTGCTAGAATTGGTCAGTGTAAGAAAAATTGCCAAAGAGACTTAAAGTTGCTCTATCTGCGCATTGATGCATGTGCGGCACCAAAAATTATATTTAATACAGTGAGCTACTCTACTTTAACCCAAAACTTTAGAAAATACAATATCCAAAGCCTTACCTATCCAAAAAGATTATAAAATTCAAGAGCAAATGAAAAAAATCTAAATTTATTCAGTAACGCAATTAATCGTTCATTACAGGAAGATCGTATCTTAACGAATATGATTTTATTGTTGTTGGAAGGTAAGTAGACTGCAAAAATTACCAATTAGTGGCTGTCAATAAAACAACCGCAAAGGTTACCAGCCACATACGTTGTTAATTAATTTATTCACCCAAAGTAATGTCTGTAGCTAAATATAATCATTGCCAGCATGATTCCCTCAATTTAAACTGTTAAAATATTTTATGGCTTTAATAATTCATCAACAGTGGACCAGCAGGATGTGTTGTTGCAAATCGTCTGACTGAAAATCCAAATTGGAATGTTCTTCTTATTGAAGCTGGAACTGTGGAGACACTGATTGAACAAGTGCCTATGTTTGCACCTTATGAGTTTTTGACACGATATAATTGGGGATATGTAGCTGAAAGACAGCCATACTCATGTTTTGGTAAGTAAAATTGACTATTTTGTCAATTCATCAAGAATAAATTAGAAACAACAATACAGATCATGCCTCTTATAATTATTGGACATACCGGACAGTATGTCGTCAATAAATGCAATAAAGTGCAATTAAAATGAAAAAAATTGAACTTTAAAGTTCATTCCTTATCAACAGCAGTCATCATAATCTACAACACGTGCACATGATACCTTGAACTTTAACTTTTGAATTAAGAAATTTGTAATTATATATACTACATACTTATTTATAGCCAAAAAATTTCCAAACTATCAAGTCAAATTATCTTCATGAAATGCTTACGTAAAGAAGCAGCCAAGTGAAAATTCCACGACAATAATCAATTCAGTTTCCTCAACAATCATGAATAATTAATTTTGTTTCTTCTTATGTTTATGAATTAGGTTCAAAAGACAGTCGTTGTGGTTTCCCTCGAGGCAAGGCTCTAGGTGGAACTTCTGTAATTTATGGAATGCTGTACACTCGTGGAAGTAAAGAAGATTTTGATAATTGGGGTAAATTAGGCAATTATGGATGGGAATACTATGAAACTGTATTGCCAGCATTCAAAAAGTCAGAACGAGCTCATCTAAAATTTTATCACAAAAGTCAGTTCCATAATGATACTGGATACTTATCAGTCGTCCATAATGAATACCAAACACCAATTCCGAAAATATTTATTGATGGAAATAAAGCGATGGGGTTGGATGAAATTGATTACAATGCTGATGAAAATATTGGAGTTGCTTACTTGCAATCTAATACACTTAAAGGTCGTCGACATTCAGCTTATAAATCGTTTATTGAACCTTTCTTGCATCGAAAAAATCTTCACATTATGCTGAATACTAGAGTAAGCAAAGTTTTAATCGATAGTGTCACGAGAATCGCTTATGGAGTGGAACTTATAAGAAAAAACAGACGCCACAAAATAATTGCCAGACGTGAAGTGATTTTATCAGCTGGAAGCTTCCATTCACCTCAGTTATTACAATTATCTGGAATTGGTCCACGTGAAGATTTACAGAGAATTGGAGTTCCAGTTCTTCATGATCTTCCTGTTGGCAAGGAAATGTACGACCACATCTCATTTCCAGGACTGTTGTTCCGCTCGAATCTTACAAATCCAATTTTGCCATTTTTAGAAATCCAAAACATGGTTAAGGTTTTTGGGAACTTCCTTCAAAGTAAAGGCTTTGGAACTGTCCCAAATGGAGTTGAGTCCTTAGCATTTATACAAACTCCAACCACAAATGTACCTCATCCAAGACTTCCTAATATAGAATTAATTTTACTAACCGTTGCACCTCACTATGATAATGGATATGCAGTCAGAGAAAGTGAGAGAATGTCTGACTGGTTGTATGATTCTGTGTATAAACAACTTGAGGGTGACACAACTTACTCATTTCTCATTGTTATATCACTTCTGCATCCAAAATCAGTTGGATATCTTGAACTTAAGGACAGAAACATCTTTAATGCACCTAGATTTTATTCTAATTTCTTCAAAGAGCCTGAAGATGTTGAGTCAATATTAGAAGCCATAAAATATACAATAGCGATGACAAAAACAAAACCATTTCAAGATATTGGTGCTAGATTGCATGATGCTCCTATCCCAACATGTGCAAAGTTTGGATTTGGAAGTGATGACTATTGGAGATGCGCTATAAGGTAAGATTTTGTTATTTAAATTCTGGCTAGAATCTATAACATTTTTAAAAATTTCTCCAACTAGAACATGGTGCGTGTCTCTACATCATCAAGTTGGAACATGCAAAATGGGTCCATCAGAAGACAGAACAGCAATAGTTAACCCAGAACTAAAGGTGTACGGTGTCAAAAGACTCAGAGTCATCGACACATCAATTATTCCAGTATCAACAACTAGTCATACGTGTGCAGCTAGTTATATGATAGGAGAAGTTGGTGCTGATATGATTAAGAGAGATTGGGAGAGGCAGTCCAATCCATACATATTTCATTCAAACTAGATTGTCAAATGAAGTCTGAAGAATTTCAAAACACGTTAATTTTTGTTTCAGGAGTTGCATACTAATCGAATCGGACACAAAAGGATTGGTTAATTAATTTTAAATTTAGGCGATTCTGTATGATTTTAATAAATTGTTTTAATAATCATCAGAATTGGAATTAAATATTTATTACGTTTAAGAGGAGAGAGTGCCAAATTTAAATATTTCAGAAGACTGAACTGAAATTGCTTGGGAATTGTAATTCATTTTGCAATTTAAAGCGTGAATGCATATTTAACTGTCATATGCAGATCTTCATCTTGTGGTTTTCTTCCTCTTTACTGAACTTTTGTCCAAAATCCAAACGTTTACATCTTAACAAACACAAATTAACATTAAAGACTTATAATTCAACAACAAATAACATTTGAGTGCTAATGCTATCTGGGTCTGTCGACACACTTCTACACACATTCTTCATTGCACAAATCCATACTTTTCATGTTCTTCACAGGAACTGCAATTCGCCAAGCCTCGAAAGAGCTTGATAACTTTTAAAATCAAATGTGGACAAATTTATCTTTGCCTGAAAAAATGTGTCTGAGTATTTTGCTTAAATGCATCCCGCGGCAGTTACAACTTCATTGGCTGATTAAAAACGTACATGTCTGAATGATATGTGATGGATTTTTGTTAAGATTTAGGCAAATATGACTCAATCCAAAGCTTATTTCCAGTTGCTCATTTTGTTCAAGTCATAGAATTGGATTATATTCAGCCTCTTCTTCAAGCACTTGATTGTATGGCTCCATCCATTTTACTTATGTATCAGTTATTTTCCAATTATGATCAGAAACTATTTTGCTGTCCTTTTTCACCAAAATGTAAGTTTTCTAGGTGCTGAAAAAAAATTTGGGCAGGACGGTGGGGCATTTTCTAATTTGAAAGTTGTATAAAGCCTAGAAAAGAAATAAAAAATTAAAATTAAAATAAAATTTGTTCCCACTTACAGGTTAATTTATTATTTGTTGATTAAGATTCTTCTTCTTCTGCTTCTTCTTGCTTGATGATTGATATCAGCACAGACGTTTTAAGACTTCCCTAAACGAAAACTTCCTCGAGTCCAGCTTGAGGTTGTTCCTAGACTGGAAAAAAGAAGAAAGGATTGTTTGTTTTCTTATGACTTCATCAATTAAACGCAATTTTTTTAACATACCTCTTTAGCTTTTCGTTCGTACTTTTTTAACAAATTGTAAGTTTTCTAGGTGCTGAAAAAAAATTTGGGCAGGACGGTGGGGCATTTTCTAATTTGAAAGTTGTAAAAAGCCTAGAAAAGAAATAAAAAATTAAAATTAAAATAAAATTTGTTCCCACTTACAGGTTGATTCATTTTTGTTGATTAAGATTCTTCTTCTTCTACTTCTTCTTGCTTGATGATTGTCTGCACAGACGGTTTGAGACTTCCCTAGACGAAAACTTCCTCGAGTCCAGCTTGAGTTTGTTGCTTGACTGGAAAAGAGAATAAAGGATTTTTTGTCTTATGACTTCATCAACTAAACGCATTTTTTTTAACATACCTCTTTAGCTTTTCGTTCGTACTTTTTTAACAAATTGTAAGTTTTCTAGGTGCTGAAAAAAAATTTGGGCAGGACGGTGGGGCATTTTCTAATTTGAAAGTTGTAAAAAGCCTAGAAAAGAAATAAAAAATTAAAATTAAAATAAAATTTGTTCCCACTTACAGGTTAATTCATTATTTGTTGATTAAGATTCTTCTTCTTCTGCTTCTTCTTGCTTGATGATTGATATCTGCACAGACGGTTTGAGACTTCCCTAGACGAAAACTTCCTCGAGTACAGCTTGAGGTTGTTCGTAGACTGGAAAAAAAGAAGAAAGGATTGTTTGTTTTCTTATGACTTCATCAATTAAACGCAATTTTTTTTAACATACCTCTTTAGCTTTTCGTTCGTACTTTTTTAACAAATTGTAAGTTTTCTAGGTGCTGAAAAAAAATTTGGGCAGGACGGTGGGGCATTTTCTAATTTGAAAGTTGTGAAAAGCCTAGAAAAGAAATAAAAAATTAAAATTAAAATAAAATTTGTTCCCACTTACAGGTTAATTCATTATTTGTTGATTAAGATTCTTCTTCTTCTGCTTCTTCTTGCTTGATGATTGATATCTGCACAGACGGTTTGAGACTTCCCTAGACGAAAACTTCCTCGAGTACAGCTTGAGGTTGTTCCTAGACTGGAAAAAAGAAGAAAGGATTGTTTGTTGTCTTATGACTTCATCAAGTAAACGCAATTTTTTTTAACATACCTCTTTAGCTTTTCGTTCGTACTTTTTTAACAAATTGTAAGTTTTCTAGGTGCTGAAAAAAAATTTTGGCAGGACGGTGGGGCATTTTCTAATTTGAAAGTTGTAAAAAGCCTAGAAAAGAAATAAAAAATTAAAATTAAAATAAAATTTGTTCCCACTTACAGGTTAATTCATTATTTGTTGATTAAGATTCTTCTTCTTCTGGTTCTTCTTGCTTGATAATTGTCTGCACAGACGGTTTGAGACTTCCCTAGACGAAAACTTTCTCGAGTCCAGCTTGAGGTTGTTGCTAGATTGAAAATATTGAATTGAAAAAGTGAGAAGAAATTAATTGAAATTAGATTTTTCAGAAGATTTTTGACAAGTGTCATTCCATCTTTCAAATGAAAAAAGAAAATATAGCAATTACTTACTGTGAACTTGATTACTTGCTCCCATATTATTTTGATTCCAGAACTGTTTTACGATCCTTTTAAAATGTTGACTATGTCCAATCTTCAATTTCAATAGAAGTCCATCGATTTAACAAGTTCTTGTTAATCCAGTGCAATCAGTCGAATTGAAATTGCTACAAATATTACAGAATATAATCTTGAAATTGATATAGAGACTTCCGTTACTTACGTTCACAGTAGATTTTTATACAATTCAATTATTGCTCCTACAATTCCCCTTTTTTTTTTATTTTTCTTAACCTCTTCATTTCCAGATCTATAATCATAATCTGAAGAATTGGCAATATGTTGACATATTCTTTTGAATGCAAAATTCTTCCTAAGTTGCTTGTATTTTTCTTTGCAGTTTTCTATGTTTGCTTGCATTATGAGTGAAGTTGGTGATAGCGTTTGCTGTTAAATTTGTTGTAACGTTCTTTGACCATCATATGATTTCGCTGTATACTATTTACTATCCATTTCTTTAAGTAGAATTCTTAACGAAAAAACATTAGGAATCATAAGTACGCATTTGACGATGGATGACTTTTACCGATATTTGAGACATTTGTAGTCGTATCAAAATATATCGAAGAATAATTCTTGTCTCTTTTGGAGTTGTCTGTCGAATTCGATTGATTTTTTCCTTATCTATGATGGCTTCATTTCTTCATTATATATTCCAGCTTCTTCTAGCTTTTCGAAATCTTTGCCTTGTGTAAATTCATATGGGATATAAGTTTCAACTAATGTTTGATCGAAATAATCTTTCCAATCCTTTAACGTCTTTTTTTGCACCCTTTGATATCGTAATTTTGGTGGATATTAATGCTGATAATATCTCCATATTTATAAAATGTATCAGATCTCTTATTGCTGTACTTTTGTTGATAAACTTTCAATCCATAAAGTTGTACTGCATCCTGAAAATGTAGCTTCTTGGTGATCGTGAACCCAATCGTGTACTCTTTCTTTCTTTCTCTTGAATATGATGTTATCCTTCGATGCGTTTGAGAACCTTAATTTTCTTCCTGGTCCTTGTAGTGGCTGTTCTGTTGAATTACTAGCAGTTTGCATTTCTTGTACCTAACCTATGAGAGAAGGGAGAAAAAGAGAAAAGAAAAAATATATTATTAAATCTGATGACGAAATGATGCTAATAAAATGATGATGTCTGCTTTTCCTGCTATAACTTCTTTAATCTTCATTTTCTTTATAAGCTCCAGAGCCTCAACATTTGTTCTTCTTCATGTTCTTTCGTGCTGATTACTTTTTAAAATTCTCGATTCAAGAACTTATCTTGGAAAGTTGAATAGATTTGATAATATTCACATTGCTGTTGCTTGATAAAGTTGAAGTCCAGCTGATTGTAATGCATCATTCTTATCCTCTTCATTCTCAGATCCATAAATTAATTTACTGCTGATTTATTTCTCTGTTGACATTTGTTTGAATTTATAATTTTTTTTCTGAGGTTGCTAGTTTTTGCAATTTTCTTTGTAAATGTTAAATTAATTGTTGTAATTTGGTTTCTGCTTATTTGCTGCCTTGAAACTTTAATCAACTGATGTGAATGTCAAGGTCAAAGAAAAAAAAAATTCCATCTTTAGTTCAATTAGGACGATTAAAAACATTGAATTTTGATACATTAAGGAAATGTAATTATGAAAAGATTACAACATGACATCACAATCCAGAAATAATTGACTGGCTAATCGCAAGCTGAAATGTTTGAAGAAGCAATTGAAACTGCAGGAATTAAAGAAAGAAGTTATTGAGGAACACAAAAGTTTGATAATTGAATGTAAAGTCTATTAAGCATGAAAACCTCTTCAAATCCTGTTATTCAGTTGATTCTGCAACAATTATAGTTGTAAAACAATGAGACAAAGAGGCAAACGTCATCGACACAGAGAAAATTAGTTTCAAATTATTTTTGATTATTATGTGCTTATTAATAAAAGGATATACATGATTACAACTCAGTCATTGCTAGTTTAGCTGTCTTCAGTAATTAAATGAAGTAAAAGAACTTTAATTTAATACATTTTGATTTCCTTTTTAAGTAGTAGTGGACTCAAACACAATGATTCAATTTTAAGTTCGACATGTTGTATACTTGTTAATTCTAGGTAATCCCCTGATTCTGCCTCGAATCAAGAATGATAGTTGGAATGTCCAATCAATTGATAACACGCAATCATCAGAATCAATTAATAGCTCGTAATATGGGATGCTTTTCTTTTTGCATTCCTTGCTAGAAGTCTCTTTTGAAATTTTCATCATTTCAGCAGTCCTTACCATTAAACATCAGATGTATATTCAAACTTTCCATATTGTGAAAAATCCATTGAAACAGTCTTACAGAAATCAATGAGTTCCAATAAAGCTTTCCAAGCTATTCTGATGACTTTGAAATTTTCATAACTTAAATTTTCTTACATAACCTGAAATAGAAGTCTGAAAATAGAAACTTAAAGTAAAAGCCAAATTTTTCAAAACATTTCAGAAGATTGAACTGGAAATTTTACTGTCGTTGTACGATTTTATTTCGGAAAAATCTCGTTTCATATAATTTCGAGAGACATTGACCTGATAATATCTTCAAGTGTGTCAAGTTCAAGAACCCAAAACAAAATTTTTCGTTGTATTGGAAGTATTTCTTTTTTACTAGATTTTACAATTTAAAGCGTGAATGCACATTTAACTTTCGTATGCAGATCTTTATCTGGTCGTTTTCTTCCTCTTTACTGAACTTTTGTCCAAAATCCAAACGTTTACATCTTAACAAACACAAACTAACGTTAAAGACTTATAATTCAACAACAAATAACATTTGAGTGCTAATGCTATCTGGGTCTGTCGACACACTTCTACACACATTCTACATTGCACAAAATCATACTTTTCATGTTCTTCACAGGAACTGCAAGTCGCCAAGCCTCGAAAGAGCTTGATAACTTTTAAAATCAAATGTGGACAAATTTATCTTTGCCTGAAAAAATGTGTCTGAGTATTTTGCTTAAATGCATCCCGCGGCAGTTACAACTTCATTGGCTGATTAAAAACGTACATGTCTGAATGATATGTGATGGATTTTTGTTAAGATTTAGGCAAATATGACTCAATCCAAAGCTTATTTCCAGTTGCTCATTTTGTTCAAGTCATAGAATTGGATTATATTCAGCCTCTTCTTCAAGCACTTGATTGTACAGCTCCATCCATTTAACTTATGTATCAGTTGTTATCCAATTATGATCAGAAACTTTTTTGCTGTCCTTTTTCACCAAAATGTAAGTTTTTTAGGTGCTGAAAAATAATTTGGGCAGGACGTTGGGGCAAGTTCTAATTTGAAAGTTGTAAAAAGCCTAGAAAAGAAATAAAAAATTAAAATTAAAATTAAATTTGTTCCCACTTACAGGTTGATTCATTTTTGTTGATTAAGATTCTTCTTCTTCTGCTTCTTCTTGCTTGATGATTGATATCTGCACAGACGGTTTGAGACTTCCCTAGACGAAAACTTTCTCGAGTCCAGCTTGAGGTTGTTCCTAGACTGGAAAAAAAAGAAGAAAGGATTGTTTGTTGTCTTATGACTTCATCAATTAAACGCAATTTTTTTAACATACCTCTTTAGCTTTTCGTTCGTACTTTTTTAACAAATTGTAAGTTTTTTAGCTGCTGAAAAATAATTTGGGCAGGACGTTGGGGCAAGTTCTAATTTGAAAGTTGTAAAAAGCCTAGAAAAGAAATAAAAAATTAAAATTAAAATTAAATTTGTTCCCACTTACAGGTTGATTCATTTTTGTTGATTAAGATTCTTCTTCTTTTGCTTCTTCTTGCTTGATGATTGATATCTGCACAGACGGTTTGAGACTTCCCTAGACGAAAACTTCCTCGAGTACAGCTTGAGGTTGTTCGTAGACTGGAAAAAAAGAAGAAAGGATTGTTTGTTTTCTTATAACTTCATCAATTAAACGCAATTTTTTTTAACATACCTCTTTAGCTTTTCGTTCGTACTTTTTTTTAACAAATTGTAAGTTTTCTAGGTGCTGAAAAAAAATTTGGGCAGGACGGTGGGGCATTTTCTAATTTGAAAGTTGTGAAAAGCCTAGAAAAGAAATAAAAAATTAAAATTAAAATAAAATTTGTTCCCACTTACAGGTTAATTCATTATTTGTTGATTAAGATTCTTCTTCTTCTGCTTCTTCTTGCTTGATGATTGATATCTGCACAGACGGTTTGAGACTTCCCCAGACGAAAACTTCCTCGAGTCCAGCTTGAGGTTGTTCCTAGACTGGAAAAAAAAGAAGAAAGGATTGTTTGTTGTCTTATGACTTCATCAATTAAACGCAATTTTTTTAACATACCTCTTTAGCTTTTCGTTCGTACTTTTTTAACAAATTGTAAGTTTTCTAGGTGCTGAAAAAAAATTTTGGCAGGACGGTGGGGCATTTTCTAATTTGAAAGTTGTAAAAAGCCTAGAAAAGAAATAAAAAATTAAAATTAAAATAAAATTTGTTCCCACTTACAGGTTAATTCATTATTTGTTGATTAAGATTCTTCTTCTTCTGGTTCTTCTTGCTTGATAATTGTCTGCACAGACGGTTTGAGACTTCCCTAGACGAAAACTTTCTCGAGTCCAGCTTGAGGTTGTTGCTAGATTGAAAATATTGAATTGAAAAAGTGAGAAGAAATTAATTGAAATTAGATTTTTCAGAAGATTTTTGACAAGTGTCATTCCATCTTTCAAATGAAAAAAGAAAATATAGCAATTACTTACTGTGAACTTGATTACTTGCTCCCATATTATTTTGATTCCAGAACTGTTTTACGATCCTTTTAAAATGTTGACTATGTCCAATCTTCAATTTCAATAGAAGTCCATCGATTTAACAAGTTCTTGTTAATCCAGTGCAATCAGTCGAATTGAAATTGCTACAAATATTACAGAATATAATCTTGAAATTGATACACAGACTTCCGTTACTTACGTTCACAGTAGATTTTTATACAATTCAATTATTGCTCCTACAATTCCCCTTTTTTTTTTATTTTTCTTAACCTCTTCATTTCCAGATCTATAATCATAATCTGAAGAATTGGCAATATGTTGACATATTCTTTTGAATGCAAAATTCTTCCTAAGTTGCTTGTATTTTTCTTTGCAGTTTTCTATGTTTGCTTGCATTATGAGTGAAGTTGGTGATATCGTTTGCAGTTAAATTTGTTGTAACGTTCTTTGACCATCATATGATTTCGCTGTATACTATTTACTATCCATTTCTTGAAGTAGAATTCTTAACGGTAAAACATTAGGAATCATAAGTACGCATTTGACGACGGATGACTTTTCCCGATATTTGAGACATTTGTAGTCGTATCAAAATATATCGAAGAATAATTCTTGTCTCTTTTGGAGTTGTCTGTCGAATTCGATTGATTTTTTCCTTATCTATGATGGCTTCATTTCTTCATTATATATTCCAGCTTCTTCTAGCTTTTCGAAATCTTTGCCTTGTGTAAATTCATATGGGATATAAGTTTCAACTAATGTTTGATCGAAATAATCTTTCCAATCCTTTAACGTCTTTTTTTGCACCCTTTGATATCGTAATTTTGGTGGATATTAATGCTGATAATATCTCCATATTTATAAAATGTATCAGATCTCTTATTGCTGTACTTTTGTTGATAAACTTTCAATCCATAAAGTTGTACTGCATCCTGAAAATGTAGCTTCTTGGTGATCGTGAACCCAATCGTGTACTCTTTCTTTCTTTCTCTTGAATATGATGTTATCCTTCGATGCGTTTGAGAACCTTAATTTTCTTCCTGGTCCTTGTAGTGGCTGTTCTGTTGAATTACTAGCAGTTTGCATTTCTTGTACCTAACCTATGAGAGAAGGGAGAAAAAGAGAAAAGAAAAAATATATTATTAAATCTGATGACGAAATGATGCTAATAAAATGATGATGTCTGCTTTTCCTGCTATAACTTCTTTAATCTTCATTTTCTTTATAAGCTCCAGAGCCTCAACATTTGTTCTTCTTCATGTTCTTTCGTGCTGATTACTTTTTAAAATTCTCGATTCAAGAACTTATCTTGGAAAGTTGAATAGATTTGATAATATTCACATTGCTGTTGCTTGATAAAGTTGAAGTCCAGCTGATTGTAATGCATCATTCTTATCCTCTTCATTCTCAGATCCATAAATTAATTTACTGCTGATTTATTTCTCTGTTGACATTTGTTTGAATTTATAATTTTTTTTCTGAGGTTGCTAGTTTTTGCAATTTTCTTTGTAAATGTTAAATTAATTGTTGTAATTTGGTTTCTGCTTATTTGCTGCCTTGAAACTTTAATCAACTGATGTGAATGTCAAGGTCAAAGAAAAAAAAAATTCCATCTTTAGTTCAATTAGGACGATTAAAAACATTGAATTTTGATACATTAAGGAAATGTAATTATGAAAAGATTACAACATGACATCACAATCCAGAAATAATTGACTGGCTAATCGCAAGCTGAAATGTTTGAAGAAGCAATTGAAACTGCAGGAATTAAAGAAAGAAGTTATTGAGGAACACAAAAGTTTGATAATTGAATGTAAAGTCTATTAAGCATGAAAACCTCTTCAAATCCTGTTATTCAGTTGATTCTGCAACAATTATAGTTGTAAAACAATGAGACAAAGAGGCAAACGTCATCGACACAGAGAAAATTAGTTTCAAATTATTTTTGATTATTATGTGCTTATTAATAAAAGGATATACATGATTACAACTCAGTCATTGCTAGTTTAGCTGTCTTCAGTAATTAAATGAAGTAAAAGAACTTTAATTTAATACATTTTGATTTCCTTTTTAAGTAGTAGTGGACTCAAACACAATGATTCAATTTTAAGTTCGACATGTTGTATACTTGTTAATTCTAGGTAATCCCCTGATTCTGCCTCGAATCAAGAATGATAGTTGGAATGTCCAATCAATTGATAACACGCAATCATCAGAATCAATTAATAGCTCGTAATATGGGATGCTTTTCTTTTTGCATTCCTTGCTAGAAGTCTCTTTTGAAATTTTCATCATTTCAGCAGTCCTTACCATTAAACATCAGATGTATATTCAAACTTTCCATATTGTGAAAAATCCATTGAAACAGTCTTACAGAAATCAATGAGTTCCAATAAAGCTTTCCAAGCTATTCTGATGACTTTGAAATTTTCATAACTTAAATTTTCTTACATAACCTGAAATAGAAGTCTGAAAATAGAAACTTAAAGTAAAAGCCAAATTTTTCAAAACATTTCAGAAGATTGAACTGGAAATTTTACTGTCGTTGTACGATTTTATTTCGGAAAAATCTCGTTTCATATAATTTCGAGAGACATTGACCTGATAATATCTTCAAGTGTGTCAAGTTCAAGAACCCAAAACAAAATTTTTCGTTGTATTGGAAGTATTTCTTTTTTACTAGATTTTACAATTTAAAGCGTGAATGCACATTTAACTTTCGTATGCAGATCTTTATCTGGTCGTTTTCTTCCTCTTTACTGAACTTTTGTCCAAAATCCAAACGTTTACATCTTAACAAACACAAACTAACGTTAAAGACTTATAATTCAACAACAAATAACATTTGAGTGCTAATGCTATCTGGGTCTGTCGACACACTTCTACACACATTCTACATTGCACAAAATCATACTTTTCATGTTCTTCACAGGAACTGCAAGTCGCCAAGCCTCGAAAGAGCTTGATAACTTTTAAAATCAAATGTGGACAAATTTATCTTTGCCTGAAAAAATGTGTCTGAGTATTTTGCTTAAATGCATCCCGCGGCAGTTACAACTTCATTGGCTGATTAAAAACGTACATGTCTGAATGATATGTGATGGATTTTTGTTAAGATTTAGGCAAATATGACTCAATCCAAAGCTTATTTCCAGTTGCTCATTTTGTTCAAGTCATAGAATTGGATTATATTCAGCCTCTTCTTCAAGCACTTGATTGTACAGCTCCATCCATTTAACTTATGTATCAGTTGTTATCCAATTATGATCAGAAACTTTTTTGCTGTCCTTTTTCACCAAAATGTAAGTTTTTTAGGTGCTGAAAAATAATTTGGGCAGGACGTTGGGGCAAGTTCTAATTTGAAAGTTGTAAAAAGCCTAGAAAAGAAATAAAAAATTAAAATTAAAATTAAATTTGTTCCCACTTACAGGTTGATTCATTTTTGTTGATTAAGATTCTTCTTCTTCTGCTTCTTCTTGCTTGATGATTGATATCTGCACAGACGGTTTGAGACTTCCCTAGACGAAAACTTTCTCGAGTCCAGCTTGAGGTTGTTCCTAGACTGGAAAAAAAAGAAGAAAGGATTGTTTGTTGTCTTATGACTTCATCAATTAAACGCAATTTTTTTAACATACCTCTTTAGCTTTTCGTTCGTACTTTTTTAACAAATTGTAAGTTTTTTAGCTGCTGAAAAATAATTTGGGCAGGACGTTGGGGCAAGTTCTAATTTGAAAGTTGTAAAAAGCCTAGAAAAGAAATAAAAAATTAAAATTAAAATTAAATTTGTTCCCACTTACAGGTTGATTCATTTTTGTTGATTAAGATTCTTCTTCTTTTGCTTCTTCTTGCTTGATGATTGATATCTGCACAGACGGTTTGAGACTTCCCTAGACGAAAACTTCCTCGAGTACAGCTTGAGGTTGTTCGTAGACTGGAAAAAAAGAAGAAAGGATTGTTTGTTTTCTTATAACTTCATCAATTAAACGCAATTTTTTTTAACATACCTCTTTAGCTTTTCGTTCGTACTTTTTTTTAACAAATTGTAAGTTTTCTAGGTGCTGAAAAAAAATTTGGGCAGGACGGTGGGGCATTTTCTAATTTGAAAGTTGTGAAAAGCCTAGAAAAGAAATAAAAAATTAAAATTAAAATAAAATTTGTTCCCACTTACAGGTTAATTCATTATTTGTTGATTAAGATTCTTCTTCTTCTGCTTCTTCTTGCTTGATGATTGATATCTGCACAGACGGTTTGAGACTTCCCCAGACGAAAACTTCCTCGAGTCCAGCTTGAGGTTGTTCCTAGACTGGAAAAAAAAGAAGAAAGGATTGTTTGTTGTCTTATGACTTCATCAATTAAACGCAATTTTTTTAACATACCTCTTTAGCTTTTCGTTCGTACTTTTTTAACAAATTGTAAGTTTTCTAGGTGCTGAAAAAAAATTTTGGCAGGACGGTGGGGCATTTTCTAATTTGAAAGTTGTAAAAAGCCTAGAAAAGAAATAAAAAATTAAAATTAAAATAAAATTTGTTCCCACTTACAGGTTAATTCATTATTTGTTGATTAAGATTCTTCTTCTTCTGGTTCTTCTTGCTTGATAATTGTCTGCACAGACGGTTTGAGACTTCCCTAGACGAAAACTTTCTCGAGTCCAGCTTGAGGTTGTTGCTAGATTGAAAATATTGAATTGAAAAAGTGAGAAGAAATTAATTGAAATTAGATTTTTCAGAAGATTTTTGACAAGTGTCATTCCATCTTTCAAATGAAAAAAGAAAATATAGCAATTACTTACTGTGAACTTGATTACTTGCTCCCATATTATTTTGATTCCAGAACTGTTTTACGATCCTTTTAAAATGTTGACTATGTCCAATCTTCAATTTCAATAGAAGTCCATCGATTTAACAAGTTCTTGTTAATCCAGTGCAATCAGTCGAATTGAAATTGCTACAAATATTACAGAATATAATCTTGAAATTGATACACAGACTTCCGTTACTTACGTTCACAGTAGATTTTTATACAATTCAATTATTGCTCCTACAATTCCCCTTTTTTTTTGATTTTTCTTAACCTCTTCATTTCCAGATCTATAATCATAATCTGAAGAATTGGCAATATGTTGACATTTTCTTTTGAATGCAAAATTCTTCCTAAGTTGCTTGTATTTTTCTTTGCAGTTTTCTATGTTTGCTTGCATTATGAGTGAAGTTGGTGATAGCGTTTGCTGTTAAATTTGTTGTTCTTTGACCATCATATGATTTCGCTGTATACTATTTACTATCCATTTCTTGAAGTAGAATTCTTAACGGTAAAACATTAGGAATCATAAGTACGCATTTGACGACGGATGACTTTTCCCGATATTTGAGACATTTGTAGTCGTATCAAAATATATCGAAGAATAATTCTTGTCTCTTTTGGAGTTGTCTGTCGAATTCGATTGATTTTTTCCTTATCTATGATGGCTTCATTTCTTCATTATATATTCCAGCTTCTTCTAGCTTTTCGAAATCTTTGCCTTGTGTAAATTCATATGGGATATAAGTTTCAACTAATGTTTGATCGAAATAATCTTTCCAATCCTTTAACGTCTTTTTTTGCACCCTTTGATATCGTAATCTTGGTGGATATTAATGCTGATAATATCTCCATATTTATAAAATGTATCAGATCTCTTATTGCTGTACTTTTTTTGATAAACTTTCAATCCATAAAGTTGTACTGCATCCTGAAAATGTAGCTTCTTGGTGATCGTGAACCCAATCGTGTACTCTTTCTTTCTTTCTCTTGAATATGATGTTATCCTTCGATGCGTTTGAGAACCTTAATTTTCTTCCTGGTCCTTGTAGTGGCTGTTCTGTTGAATTACTAGCAGTTTGCATTTCTTGTACCTAACCTATGAGAGAAGGGAGAAAAAGAGAAAAGAAAAAATATATTATTAAATCTGATGACGAAATGATGCTAATAAAATGATGATGTCTGCTTTTCCTGCTATAACTTCTTTAATCTTCATTTTCTTTATAAGCTCCAGAGCCTCAACATTTGTTCTTCTTCATGTTCTTTCGTGCTGATTACTTTTTAAAATTCTCGATTCAAGAACTTATCTTGGAAAGTTGAATAGATTTGATAATATTCACATTGCTGTTGCTTGATAAAGTTGAAGTCCAGCTGATTGTAATGCATCATTCTTATCCTCTTCATTCTCAGATCCATAAATTAATTTACTGCTGATTTATTTCTCTGTTGACATTTGTTTGAATTTATAATTTTTTTTCTGAGGTTGCTAGTTTTTGCAATTTTCTTTGTAAATGTTAAATTAATTGTTGTAATTTGGTTTCTGCTTATTTGCTGCCTTGAAACTTTAATCAACTGATGTGAATGTCAAGGTCAAAGAAAAAAAAAATTCCATCTTTAGTTCAATTAGGACGATTAAAAACATTGAATTTTGATACATTAAGGAAATGTAATTATGAAAAGATTACAACATGACATCACAATCCAGAAATAATTGACTGGCTAATCGCAAGCTGAAATGTTTGAAGAAGCAATTGAAACTGCAGGAATTAAAGAAAGAAGTTATTGAGGAACACAAAAGTTTGATAATTGAATGTAAAGTCTATTAAGCATGAAAACCTCTTCAAATCCTGTTATTCAGTTGATTCTGCAACAATTATAGTTGTAAAACAATGAGACAAAGAGGCAAACGTCATCGACACAGAGAAAATTAGTTTCAAATTATTTTTGATTATTATGTGCTTATTAATAAAAGGATATACATGATTACAACTCAGTCATTGCTAGTTTAGCTGTCTTCAGTAATTAAATGAAGTAAAAGAACTTTAATTTAATACATTTTGATTTCCTTTTTAAGTAGTAGTGGACTCAAACACAATGATTCAATTTTAAGTTCGACATGTTGTATACTTGTTAATTCTAGGTAATCCCCTGATTCTGCCTCGAATCAAGAATGATAGTTGGAATGTCCAATCAATTGATAACACGCAATCATCAGAATCAATTAATAGCTCGTAATATGGGATGCTTTTCTTTTTGCATTCCTTGCTAGAAGTTCTCTTTTGAAATTTTCATCATTTCAGCAGTCCTTACCATTAAACATCAGATGTATATTCAAACTTTCCATATTGTGAAAAATCCATTGAAACAGTCTTACAGAAATCAATGAGTTCCAATAAAGCTTTCCAAGCTATTCTGATGACTTTGAAATTTTCATAACTTAAATTTTCTTACATAACCTGAAATAGAAGTCTGAAAATAGAAACTTAAAGTAAAAGCCAAATTTTTCAAAACATTTCAGAAGATTGAACTGGAAATTTTACTGTCGTTGTACGATTTTATTTCGGAAAAATCTCGTTTCATATAATTTCGAGAGACATTGACCTGATAATATCTTCAAGTGTGTCAAGTTCAAGAACCCAAAACAAAATTTTTCGTTGTATTGGAAGTATTTCTTTTTTACTAGATTTTACAATTTAAAGCGTGAATGCACATTTAACTTTCGTATGCAGATCTTTATCTGGTCGTTTTCTTCCTCTTTACTGAACTTTTGTCCAAAATCCAAACGTTTACATCTTAACAAACACAAACTAACGTTAAAGACTTATAATTCAACAACAAATAACATTTGAGTGCTAATGCTATCTGGGTCTGTCGACACACTTCTACACACATTCTACATTGCACAAAATCATACTTTTCATGTTCTTCACAGGAACTGCAAGTCGCCAAGCCTCGAAAGAGCTTGATAACTTTTAAAATCAAATGTGGACAAATTTATCTTTGCCTGAAAAAATGTGTCTGAGTATTTTGCTTAAATGCATCCCGCGGCAGTTACAACTTCATTGGCTGATTAAAAACGTACATGTCTGAATGATATGTGATGGATTTTTGTTAAGATTTAGGCAAATATGACTCAATCCAAAGCTTATTTCCAGTTGCTCATTTTGTTCAAGTCATAGAATTGGATTATATTCAGCCTCTTCTTCAAGCACTTGATTGTACAGCTCCATCCATTTAACTTATGTATCAGTTGTTATCCAATTATGATCAGAAACTTTTTTGCTGTCCTTTTTCACCAAAATGTAAGTTTTCTAGGTGCTGAAAAAAAATTTGGGCAGGACGGTGGGGCATTTTCTAATTTGAAAGTTGTAAAAAGCCTAGAAAAGAAATAAAAAATTAAAATTAAAATTAAATTTGTTCCCACTTACAGGTAGTGTTCAAAATCTCACCAAATTTTTCACGAGCAAAAATTTTTGTGAGCAAATTTTTTTAAAAATCTCACGAGCAAATTTTTCGTGAGCGGCTCACGAAAATTTTGCTCGTGAGATTTTCAGCTCGCGAGCCAAATTTTGCTCACGAAATTGCTCACGTGAGCCTACGTGAGCAAATTGTGACGTAATTTTTCAAAAAATTTCTATGAATAAATTTGTATGAAATTTCTTGTTATGGGATGGTTCTTCAGAATGGATGAAGCTTTTGCCAGTGACTTTTCATGACTTTGCTGGATAATTTTGAGTATGCAGGACCTTCTTGTTCCTGAATCTTGACTTGTTGCTTGGATTTTTCCTTAGTTTTGCTTAGAATCATTTCCAAAATCATAGGAGCCAATGATGGAAATAGATGTCAAAACATTCTTACAATACTTTTGAGACATCTCATATGGAACTGGTCATGTCCAACTGGGTGGAACTGCCGAAAAAATTTTTTTTTATTTTTCTATGCTTTACAGACACTTTTGGGCAGGGGTTGGAACCAAGCACTTCCGTTACTTCCAGGTCCAATTTTCAGTGCTAACTATGTCAAGGAGGTTTCGAAACATCAGGAAAACACAAAACTTTCAAAATATTCAGCAGTTCCTTCGAATATTCTTCAATAAACCGCAAGATTTTGTGAAAATGTATGGAAATTTTATACAAATGCAATATTTCACAAAGGAACTGCTTTCTAATTTGAAAGTTTTGTGTTTTCCTGATGTTTCGAAACCTCCTTGACATAGTAAGCACTGAAAATTGGACCTGGAAGTAACGGAAGTGCTTGGTTCCAACCCCTGCCCAAAAGTGTCTGTAAAGCATAGAAAAATAAAAAAAAAATTTTTCGGCAGTTCCACCCAGTTGGACATGACCAGTTTCATATGAGATGTCTCAAAAGTATTGTAAGAATGTTTTGACATCTATTTCCATCATTGGCTCCTATGATTTTGGAAATGATTCTAAGCAAAACTAAGGAAAAATCCAAGCAACAAGTCAAGATTCAGGAACAAGAAGGTCCTGCATACTCAAAATTATCCAGCAAAGTCATGAAAAGTCACTGGCAAAAGCTTCATCCATTCTGAAGAACCATCCCATAACAAGAAATTTCATACAAATTTATTCATAGAAATTTTTTGAAAAATTACGTCACAATTTGCTCACGTAGGCTCACGTGAGCAATTTCGTGAGCAAAATTTGGCTCGCGAGCTGAAAATCTCACGAGCAAAATTTTCGTGAGCCGCTCACGAAAAATTTGCTCGTGAGATTTTTAAAAAAATTTGCTCACAAAAATTTTTGCTCGTGAAAAATTTGGTGAGATTTTGAACACTACTTACAGGTTGATTCATTTTTGTTGATTAAGATTCTTCTTCTTTTGCTTCTTCTTGCTTGATGATTGATATCTGCACAGACGGTTTGAGACTTCCCTAGACGAAAACTTCCTCGAGTACAGCTTGAGGTAGACTGGAAAAAAAGAAGAAAGGATTGTTTGTTTTCTTATAACTTCATCAATTAAACGCAATTTTTTTAACATACCTCTTTAGCTTTTCGTTCGTACTTTTTTTTAACAAATTGTAAGTTTTCTAGGTGCTGAAAAAAAATTTGGGCAGGACGGTGGGGCATTTTCTAATTTGAAAGTTGTGAAAAGCCTAGAAAAGAAATAAAAAATTAAAATTAAAATAAAATTTGTTCCCACTTACAGGTTAATTCATTATTTGTTGATTAAGATTCTTCTTCTTCTGCTTCTTCTTGCTTGATGATTGATATCTGCACAGACGGTTTGAGACTTCCCTAGACGAAAACTTCCTCGAGTACAGCTTGAGGTTGTTCGTACACTGGAAAAAAAGAAGAAAGGATTGTTTGTTTTCTTATGACTTCATCAATTAAACGCAATTTTTTTAACATACCTCTTTAGCTTTTCGTTCGTACTTTTTTAACAAATTGTAAGTTTTTTAGGTGCTGAAAAAAATTTTGGGCAGGACGTTGGGGCAAGTTCTAATTTGAAAGTTGTAAAAAGCCTAGAAAAGAAATAAAAAATTAAAATTAAAATAAAATTTGTTCCCACTTACAGGTTAATTCATTATTTGTTGATTTAGATTCTTCTTCTTCTGCTTCTTCTTGCTTGATGATTGATATCTGCACAGACGGTTTGAGACTTCCCTAGACGAAAACTTCCTCGAGTACAGCTTGAGGTTGTTCCTACACTGGAAAAAAAGAAGAAAGGATTGTTTGTTTTCTTATGACTTCATCAATTAAACGCAATTTTTTTAACATACCTCTTTAGCTTTTCGTTCGTACTTTTTTAACAAATTGTAAGTTTTTTAGGTGCTGAAAAAAATTTTGGGTAGGACGTTGGGGCAAGTTCTAATTTGAAAGTTGTAAAAAGCCTAGAAAAGAAATAAAAAATTAAAATTAAAATAAAATTTGTTCCCACTTACAGGTTAATTCATTATTTGTTGATTAAGATTCTTCTTCTTCTGCTTCTTCTTGCTTGATGATTGATATCTGCACAGACGGTTTGAGACTTCCCTAGACGAAAACTTTCTCGAGTCCAGCTTGAGGTTGTTGCTAGATTGAAAATATTGAATTGAAAAAGTGAGAAGAAATTAATTGAAATTAGATTTTTCAGAAGATTTTTGACAAGTGTCATTCCATCTTTCAAATGAAAAAAGAAAATATAGCAATTACTTACTGTGAACTTGATTACTTGCTCCCATATTATTTTGATTCCAGAACTGTTTTACGATCCTTTTAAAATGTTGACTATGTCCAATCTTCAATTTCAATAGAAGTCCATCGATTTAACAAGTTCTTGTTAATCCAGTGCAATCAGTCGAATTGAAATTGCTACAAATATTACAGAATATAATCTTGAAATTGATATACAGACTTCCGTTACTTACGTTCACAGTAGATTTTTATACAATTCAATTATTGCTCCTACAATTCCCCTTTTTTTTTTGATTTTTCTTAACCTCTTCATTTCCAGATCTATAATCATAATCTGAAGAATTGGCAATATGTTGACATTTTCTTTTGAATGCAAAATTCTTCCTAAGTTGCTTGTATTTTTCTTTGCAGTTTTCTATGTTTGCTTGCATTATGAGTGAAGTTGGTGATAGCGTTTGCTGTTAAATTTGTTGTTCTTTGACCATCATATGATTTCGCTGTATACTATTTACTATCCATTTCTTTAAGTAGAATTCTTAACGAAAAAACATTAGGAATCATAAGTACGCATTTGACGATGGATGACTTTTACCGATATTTGAGACATTTGTAGTCGTATCAAAATATATCGAAGAATAATTCTTGTCTCTTTTGGAGTTGTCTGTCGAATTCGATTGATTTTTTCCTTATCTATGATGGCTTCATTTCTTCATTATATATTCCAGCTTCTTCTAGCTTTTCGAAATCTTTGCCTTGTGTAAATTCTTATGGGATATAAGTTTCAACTAATGTTTGATCGAAATAATCTTTCCAATCCTTTAACGTCTTTTTCTGCACCCTTTGATATCGTAATCTTGGTGGATATTAATGCTGATAATATCTCCATATTTATAAAATGTATCAGATCTCTTATTGTTGTACTTTTTTTGATAAATGTACAATCCATAAAGTTGTACTGCATCCTGAAAATGTAACTTCTTGGTGATCATGAACCCAATCGTGTACTCTTTCTTTTTCTCTCTTGAATATGATGTTATCCTTCGATGCGTTTGGGAACCTTAATTTTCTTCCTGGTCTTTGTAGTGGCTGTTGTTCTGTTGAATTACCAGCAGTTTGCATTTCTTGTACCTAACCTATGATAATATATTATTAAATCTGATGACGAAATGATGCTAATAAAATGATGATGTCTGCTTTTCCTGCTATAACTTCTTTAATCTTCATTTTCTTTATAAGCTCCAGAGCCTCAACATTTGTTCTTCTTCATGTTCTTTCGTGCTGATTACTTTTTAAAATTCTCGATTCAAGAACTTATCTTGGAAAGTTGAATAGATTTGATAATATTCACATTGCTGTTGCTTGATAAAGTTGAAGTCCAGCTGATTGTAATGCATCATTCTTATCCTCTTCATTCTCAGATCCATAAATTAATTTACTGCTGATTTATTTCTCTGTTGACATTTGTTTGAATTTATAATTTTTTTTCTGAGGTTGCTAGTTTTTGCAATTTTCTTTGTAAATGTTAAATTAATTGTTGTAATTTGGTTTCTGCTTATTTGCTGCCTTGAAACTTTAATCAACTGATGTGAATGTCAAGGTCAAAGAAAAAAAAAATTCCATCTTTAGTTCAATTAGGACGATTAAAAACATTGAATTTTGATACATTAAGGAAATGTAATTATGAAAAGATTACAACATGACATCACAATCCAGAAATAATTGACTGGCTAATCGCAAGCTGAAATGTTTGAAGAAGCAATTGAAACTGCAGGAATTAAAGAAAGAAGTTATTGAGGAACACAAAAGTTTGATAATTGAATGTAAAGTCTATTAAGCATGAAAACCTCTTCAAATCCTGTTATTCAGTTGATTCTGCAACAATTATAGTTGTAAAACAATGAGACAAAGAGGCAAACGTCATCGACACAGAGAAAATTAGTTTCAAATTATTTTTGATTATTATGTGCTTATTAATAAAAGGATATACATGATTACAACTCAGTCATTGCTAGTTTAGCTGTCTTCAGTAATTAAATGAAGTAAAAGAACTTTAATTTAATACATTTTGATTTCCTTTTTAAGTAGTAGTGGACTCAAACACAATGATTCAATTTTAAGTTCGACATGTTGTATACTTGTTAATTCTAGGTAATCCCCTGATTCTGCCTCGAATCAAGAATGATAGTTGGAATGTCCAATCAATTGATAACACGCAATCATCAGAATCAATTAATAGCTCGTAATATGGGATGCTTTTCTTTTTGCATTCCTTGCTAGAAGTTCTCTTTTGAAATTTTCATCATTTCAGCAGTCCTTACCATTAAACATCAGATGTATATTCAAACTTTCCATATTGTGAAAAATCCATTGAAACAGTCTTACAGAAATCAATGAGTTCCAATAAAGCTTTCCAAGCTATTCTGATGACTTTGAAATTTTCATAACTTAAATTTTCTTACATAACCTGAAATAGAAGTCTGAAAATAGAAACTTAAAGTAAAAGCCAAATTTTTCAAAACATTTCAGAAGATTGAACTGGAAATTTTACTGTCGTTGTACGATTTTATTTCGGAAAAATCTCGTTTCATATAATTTCGAGAGACATTGACCTGATAATATCTTCAAGTGTGTCAAGTTCAAGAACCCAAAACAAAATTTTTCGTTGTATTGGAAGTATTTCTTTTTTACTAGATTTTACAATTTAAAGCGTGAATTTTCTAATTTGAAAGTTGTGAAAAGCCTAGAAAAGAAATAAAAAATTAAAATTAAAATAAAATTTGTTCCCACTTACAGGTTAATTCATTATTTGTTGATTAAGATTCTTCTTCTTCTGCTTCTTCTTGCTTGATGATTGATATCTGCACAGACGGTTTGAGACTTCCCTAGACGAAAACTTCCTCGAGTACAGCTTGAGGTTGTTCGTAGACTGGAAAAAAAGAAGAAAGGATTGTTTGTTTTCTTATAACTTCATCAATTAAACGCAATTTTTTTTAACATACCTCTTTAGCTTTTCGTTCGTACTTTTTTTTAACAAATTGTAAGTTTTCTAGGTGCTGAAAAAAAATTTGGGCAGGACGGTAGGGCATTTTCTAATTTGAAAGTTGTGAAAAGCCTAGAAAAGAAATAAAAAATTAAAATTAAAATAAAATTTGTTCCCACTTACAGGTTAATTCATTATTTGTTGATTAAGATTCTTCTTCTTCTGCTTCTTCTTGCTTGATGATTGATATCTGCACAGACGGTTTGAGACTTCCCTAGACGAAAACTTCCTCGAGTCCAGCTTGAGGTTGTTCCTAGACTGGAAAAAAAAGAAGAAAGGATTGTTTGTTGTCTTATGACTTCATCAATTAAACGCAATTTTTTTAACATACCTCTTTAGCTTTTCGTTCGTACTTTTTTAACAAATTGTAAGTTTTCTAGGTGCTGAAAAAAAAATTTTGGCAGGACGGTGGGGCATTTTCTAATTTGAAAGTTGTAAAAAGCCTAGAAAAGAAATAAAAAATTAAAATTAAAATAAAATTTGTTCCCACTTACAGGTTAATTCATTATTTGTTGATTAAGATTCTTCTTCTTCTGGTTCTTCTTGCTTGATAATTGTCTGCACAGACGGTTTGAGACTTCCCTAGACGAAAACTTTCTCGAGTCCAGCTTGAGGTTGTTGCTAGATTGAAAATATTGAATTGAAAAAGTGAGAAGAAATTAATTGAAATTAGATTTTTCAGAAGATTTTTGACAAGTGTCATTCCATCTTTCAAATGAAAAAAGAAAATATAGCAATTACTTACTGTGAACTTGATTACTTGCTCCCATATTATTTTGATTCCAGAACTGTTTTACGATCCTTTTAAAATGTTGACTATGTCCAATCTTCAATTTCAATAGAAGTCCATCGATTTAACAAGTTCTTGTTAATCCAGTGCAATCAGTCGAATTGAAATTGCTACAAATATTACAGAATATAATCTTGAAATTGATACACAGACTTCCGTTACTTACGTTCACAGTAGATTTTTATACAATTCAATTATTGCTCCTACAATTCCCCTTTTTTTTTGATTTTTCTTAACCTCTTCATTTCCAGATCTATAATCATAATCTGAAGAATTGGCAATATGTTGACATTTTCTTTTGAATGCAAAATTCTTCCTAAGTTGCTTGTATTTTTCTTTGCAGTTTTCTATGTTTGCTTGCATTATGAGTGAAGTTGGTGATAGCGTTTGCTGTTAAATTTGTTGTTCTTTGACCATCATATGATTTCGCTGTATACTATTTACTATCCATTTCTTTAAGTAGAATTCTTAACGAAAAAACATTAGGAATCATAAGTACGCATTTGACGATGGATGACTTTTCCCGATATTTGAGACATTTGTAGTCGTATCAAAATATATCGAAGAATAATTCTTGTCTCTTTTGGAGTTGTCTGTCGAATTCGATTGATTTTTTCCTTATCTATGATGGCTTCATTTCTTCATTATATATTCCAGCTTCTTCTAGCTTTTCGAAATCTTTGCCTTGTGTAAATTCATATGGGATATAAGTTTCAACTAATGTTTGATCGAAATAATCTTTCCAATCCTTTAACGTCTTTTTTTGCACCCTTTGATATCGTAATCTTGGTGGATATTAATGCTGATAATATCTCCATATTTATAAAATGTATCAGATCTCTTATTGCTGTACTTTTTTTGATAAACTTTCAATCCATAAAGTTGTACTGCATCCTGAAAATGTAGCTTCTTGGTGATCGTGAACCCAATCGTGTACTCTTTCTTTTTCTCTCTTGAATATGATGTTATCCTTCGATGCGTTTGGGAACCTTAATTTTCTTCCTGGTCTTTGTAGTGGCTGTTGTTCTGTTGAATTACCAGCAGTTTGCATTTCTTGTACCTAACCTATGATAATATATTATTAAATCTGATGACGAAATGATGCTAATAAAATGATGATGTCTGCTTTTCCTGCTATAACTTCTTTAATCTTCATTTTCTTTATAAGCTCCAGAGCCTCAACATTTGTTCTTCTTCATGTTCTTTCGTGCTGATTACTTTTTAAAATTCTCGATTCAAGAACTTATCTTGGAAAGTTGAATAGATTTGATAATATTCACATTGCTGTTGCTTGATAAAGTTGAAGTCCAGCTGATTGTAATGCATCATTCTTATCCTCTTCATTCTCAGATCCATAAATTAATTTACTGCTGATTTATTTCTCTGTTGACATTTGTTTGAATTTATAATTTTTTTTCTGAGGTTGCTAGTTTTTGCAATTTTCTTTGTAAATGTTAAATTAATTGTTGTAATTTGGTTTCTGCTTATTTGCTGCCTTGAAACTTTAATCAACTGATGTGAATGTCAAGGTCAAAGAAAAAAAAAATTCCATCTTTAGTTCAATTAGGACGATTAAAAACATTGAATTTTGATACATTAAGGAAATGTAATTATGAAAAGATTACAACATGACATCACAATCCAGAAATAATTGACTGGCTAATCGCAAGCTGAAATGTTTGAAGAAGCAATTGAAACTGCAGGAATTAAAGAAAGAAGTTATTGAGGAACACAAAAGTTTGATAATTGAATGTAAAGTCTATTAAGCATGAAAACCTCTTCAAATCCTGTTATTCAGTTGATTCTGCAACAATTATAGTTGTAAAACAATGAGACAAAGAGGCAAACGTCATCGACACAGAGAAAATTAGTTTCAAATTATTTTTGATTATTATGTGCTTATTAATAAAAGGATATACATGATTACAACTCAGTCATTGCTAGTTTAGCTGTCTTCAGTAATTAAATGAAGTAAAAGAACTTTAATTTAATACATTTTGATTTCCTTTTTAAGTAGTAGTGGACTCAAACACAATGATTCAATTTTAAGTTCGACATGTTGTATACTTGTTAATTCTAGGTAATCCCCTGATTCTGCCTCGAATCAAGAATGATAGTTGGAATGTCCAATCAATTGATAACACGCAATCATCAGAATCAATTAATAGCTCGTAATATGGGATGCTTTTCTTTTTGCATTCCTTGCTAGAAGTCTCTTTTGAAATTTTCATCATTTCAGCAGTCCTTACCATTAAACATCAGATGTATATTCAAACTTTCCATATTGTGAAAAATCCA